CCAATTTTAGCAAAAGAGGAAGAAAAAGATGATGATTGCCATGAAGATGGTGTGAATGAAGAAGGAGAGACAAAGAAGATGAAGAAGAAGATCTCTACAATTCCAAGGACTACCAATGTTCAAGATATTGTAGATGATGATGAGTATTAGCCTTTGAATGAGAAAAAACAAGGATTAAGAAAGAAGAAGCTTGGAAGTAAGCATGGAGTTCAATAAGATCAATCTTTTTTAAATGAAAGGAGATATCCTTTGAGAGATAGAAAACAACTTAATGAATGGTGGAAGAACCACATCTTTCCTCAAATAAGTGAAGAACATGCCAATGTTGTACTTCTTGCTGATTCATTGAATTTGTGTGATGCAATGAAGTCCATAGATGCAGTGAAGTAGGAGAAGGCCATAGAAGATGAATACAAATCACTCATGGACAACAAAACATGGGAATTGACTCAACTTCCTCCAAATCGATCTCCAATTGGTTGTAAGTGGGTGTTTAGAACCAAAAGGGATGCAATGGGTAATGTTGTGAGATATAAGGCAAGATTAGTTGCCAAAGGGTACTCACAAGTTGCTCGTGTTGATTTCAATGAGACATTTACTCCCGTGGCCAAATTCACCACTATTAGAACTATTGTCGTAATTGGAGTAGCAATGGACTTGGAGATGCATCAAATGGATGTGAAGACAGCATTTTTAAATGAAAAGTTGGAAGAAGACATCTACATGGATCAACTTCAAGGATTTGTTGAAGATGGCAAACAACACCTTCTTTGTAAGTTGAAGAAATCTTTGTATGGATTAAAACAATCACCAAGGACATGGTATCAACGCATTGACACATTCTTTTTGAATGAGGGATTTGTAAGAAGTAAGGCTGATCATTCTTTGCATGTGATGCAATCAAATGATTTCATATTGATTGTCATCCTATATGTTGATGATTTGATCATATTAAGTAATACCATAAAGAAGATGGATTGATTGAAGGCAAAGTTGAAGGTAGAGTATGAAATGAGTGACTTGGGAGAATTCCACTATTGTTTAGGAGTGAAATTTGAAAAAGATCATGGTAACAAGACCATTACAATGAACCAAAGCAAATACATTGAAGAAGTGTTGAAACGATTCAACATGGAGGATTGCAAGTCCATTGGAATACCTTTGGAAGCCAACTTGAAGTTGATGAAGCTCACCAATGAAGAATTTACTGAAGTTGAAGATGAAATGAAAGGTGTTCCATACAAGGCAGCAGTAGGCTCACTCATATATGCAATGGTTGGCACAAGGATGGATCTTGCATATGCGGTAAGTGTTGTGAGCCAACACTTGTCAAAGGCTGAATCAATCCATTGGGCAACCATCAAAAGGATCATGAGGTACTTAAAAGGTACTTAAAACTTCAAATTGTGTCTTGGAGAGAGTAATGTTGCATTACATGGTTATTGTGATGCGGATTGGGCTGGAGATGCAAATGATAGAAGATCAACAACGGGATATATATTCTTTGTTGGAGTGGGAGCAATCTCATGGAATTGTAAGAGCCAACAATTGTATGGTCCACAATGGAGGCAAAATACATGGCAGCAAGCCACGGCGCAATGGAGACAATTTGGCTAAGACAACTTTTAGAAGACATTGGACTTGTTCAAATGGAAGCAACTCCAATGAAGTGTGATAACCAAGTATGTCTTGCTTTTGCAAAGAATCCAAAGCATCACTCAAGAACCAAGCACATTGACATTCAACATCACTTCATAAGATAGAAGATTGAAACAAGAGTGATTGACATGAAATATTGTATAACAGAAGAGATGCTTGCTGATTTGCTTACAAAAGCACTAGTGAAGAATAGGCATCAAAAGTTAAGAAAGGTACTAGGACTAATAGTCTTTGACCAATAGCAAAGTGAGAGTGTTAAAGTAAATAAGTATTACCTAAGATAAGTTGCTAAAAGTTGAAAGGCAGCAAAGATAAAAGTAAGTAACAATGGTGGCAGCTAGGTTTATGACGACGGCTAGGGTTTCAGAGGCGGCTAGGTTAAGTGGCAGCTAGAGTTTCATTGGATGGATGTAGATGAAGTTCAACCATAGTAGATGTAAACTCCTCCTATAAGTAAAGGAAGTTGGAAGTGAGAAGCATCTCATTCTACACTTCTCTTGTGTGCAACCTTGCTGATTTCTACTTACTTGTATCTTGCTTGTTGTGTTTCTTCAATAGTCAAGCAATACAAAACCACCACAAGAGGCCAAACAACGACACTACTCTGCCTTCCCTTCATATATTTGGAACTATTTGATGATTCTTCTACCTGTAGTGGAATCCGACGCCTCAATCCTCCAACTCACATTGTTGTTTTTGTTGTTGATGATGTTGTAGTGGAATCCGACGCCTCAATCCTCCAACTCACATTGTTGTTTTTGTTGTTGATGATGTTGCTGTTGTTGATGTTGTTGTTGTATCCTCTTCAGGTTCGATGAGCCACTCACAATGTACCTACAACCTCAAATCAGACAGGTGCCATTCTAATAGACGCCTCATACTTTCCTTCCATGAAAGGGCTTCAAGAGAGTGCTAAGCCTTCGTTCGGCCCACCACAGAAAAAACTTATTCCCTCGAAACCAGATGAAAGTTCACGACGAGAAAACAACCAAATATGCCGATGTCTCAACGAAAATCTGGTGGAGGGCTTGATGCGATTCAAACAGGAGCTATGCGTAAAACAATCACGCAACGAGAACGAGACCGACGCTGGAACCAAAACCCAAAACCATGACAGGGCGATAGAAAAAAGCAGTCACGTAAACCCAAGCGAGAGCCAGAAAGCTTCGCTAAACATCGCCCAAATTCATCACTGCATGCAAGTTCCGCCTTCCCACCAACACTCTCGATTGCAGGTCCATCTCAATAAAATAACTCCACCCATGAGCCCCATCCAACCAGTTCAACCTCAAGCTAGTGGCAACACTTATGCGCCGCCAATCTATCCTCCAACTGGCTGCAAACCATAAGCTAGAATCTTCACCATCAACACCACCACCACCACAATCACCCAATCTTCCTGATTGCAACACCAGAGATGAACCATAATGTGATAATAAAACTATCCAGTTCCATTGACAATGCAGCGTTGAAGCAAATTCTCCAACACCAGTAACGCATGAGCATCGATGAGACAGTGAACCTGAAATGTGTGGGTTGGTCTGCTACTGTAGCATCAATAGCAGCAGTGTCGTCGGAGCTATGGAGGTGGAGGAGGAGGAGTAGGACCAGAGCTTGGTGTCGGCAACTCCGCACCATCAATGAATCAGAGAGGGCACCATGGCCTCCACTGGTCTGAGACTGGTTCTTCCAGTCTCAGAAATCACATTTGCTGCACACAATTCTGGCCACTGGAGCCGCGATGTTGAGATGGTGAGAGTGGTACTCCTTGTTGACGATCAGTCCCATCCCTTGTTTTGCTTCTTTTCACGACACTGCTTTCCCGGCTTCTGATCCTCCGTGGGAGGGATTCATATGCTCAATGAATGGCACTGTTTGTGTGGATGCTCCTCTCTACATCGAGAGGGTTTCACTTCATCGGCTTCCCTTAATACCCCAGTAAAAATATAGTGCAACAATACACGTTTTTGAACACCAAGCTCAAAAATGTTATTGAACATAATGATATGTGTGTTTAATTTCCTTATCAATAAAAAAAAATTAGTGAATTTATTTTATGTATAAAACTTGAATAAACATTAATACCACAAGTATTAAACATTGCATTCTTTCATTCTATTTTGTTCACCACAATCAATTAGAATCTTTATTTAATTCTAAAATTGACTATATAGTAAATTAAGTCTTTTGGTTTACTATATATATTTTTATCTATCTCTATGCACTCTAAATAGATTTTTACCTCCTTTTGAACACATCTAGTTGTGAACAATCTTGTGATGCAAAATTTAATAAATAAGTTAAATAAGAAATAAAACAAATTTTTATCTTTACATTCTATAGTTCTATATTTATTTTTCTATTGTTCATAACAACAATGGTATTGCTAAAAACCAATATGACTTAAATTTATTATCAATACAACTTTCCACCAACAATAGAATCACTTATCATAATCAATTAATCTCAATAAATGAAATTAAGATCAATTGTATGCAAAATGTAGAAAAGCATGCACAACTCATCTTCGCTTGCATGTAGGCAACCCCTGTCGTATACTTGCCTTGACAACCTTGAATAATTTAAGAATAAATTAGTAAACAATAAACCAAGAATTTCATTCTACAAACTTGTAATGGATGAGACCCTGTTCAGGAATTGTTCTCAAAATACAATTATCTCACACAAAACTCAGTAAAATTTGGCTGGGTTTAGCCAGGTCTAGTGGCAAGCAATAACGCATGATTCAGAAAAGTGCTAATCAGTGTTTGAATTCCATTAGGCATGGACCCCCTTTAATCTATACGAAATCAATGCTGCATGGCTAATTGAGGGTTTTTGTGTTGGCCCACATTATGACATAGCTACTTCTATGAGCTTTTGTGATGTACAAGGTACTGAAGGGCAACAGGTTGAAAGACCTTAAATTGATGCTGACAACAGTTATCATTGTAATGAACCTGAGTCTTAATTGCACTGCAGGATTGACTTGTTGTATGGATGATAGTATGAACGTTGAGTCAGATCACAGGCCTCTGTGGGAATTGCTTCTATGTATCAGTGAAAACTTCATGAACTCATTCGAAAACTACATCAGGGTTTCAGGAAGCCAGGTCTGCTCATCAGCAGCAGGCAATAGGAACCATGCAAATTTGTGCCTAAACACCATGACAAACACGGTTGACTACAGGGGCATGTTTCTGCCGATGCATCTATTTAACACATCACAAGTACGAACGCAATAGCATGATGGGATTACAAATACTCAGCCAGCCCGACGATGAGAAAAAAAAGTAGTATCACTAAGAGAACTTTGGCAGATCATGTCATTCTGGTCCGACTTGTCAGTAACCCAATTACTTGAAGTGGTCAACCAAGCTCAAACTGTACGTCAAAGCTGAGGATTGGAGAGTTAAAATTGCAATCAACGTCCACAACACAAAGATTGTACGCCCTCACGACTTCCAGATACTCTAGTAGGCATATTCTTTAAGTCGGAATATGTGAGTGTTAGTGAATATGATCTGATCCTACCAGACCATGAATATTACAATCTACAAAAGTGGCTACGAAAGTAGGTTGAAAAAATCATCAGATGGCTTCGCAGCAGACTTCTCGATGGTGTCACGAACACCGAATGATGCAAAGTCGGGGATAATTGGATCGAACAAATTAGGAACAGCATCTGGAAAGCATGTAGCACCTGTACTGCTTGGCTCACTCAAGGTCTGATCCTCGAAACCTGAAAAACTTACAGATGAGCTGGGAGCTTTGACATGGAGCACCTGCTCTCCAAACACATCAAAGTTGCTAGACAAATGAGGCTCTTGAGTAACTGTGCCGAAAAGATCTGGTACAGAGGCACTAGAGGTCACCTCTTTGTTCAAATTCATGAAATCCGGGATGCTACCTTGGGAGCCTCCATTCTTGACAACGCCCGTTTGATGGGCAGATAGTTGATTTCTAAGAAATGCAAAAGCATCGGAATCATTCTGAGTAGAATTGCTGCCGAGGTCAAAAAGGTCTGGGGCTAATTGTGTCAGCCCTGGGCTTATGGCAACGGAAGTCTTGTCAGCACTTACAGGAGTGCTCAAAGAGTCGAAGTCGGTCAGCCTTGTCGAAGTTGTCGAAATTGTCAGAAGATCTATAATTGATTGTTCTGATTTAGACACATTAGAGGGGTTCTCGAAGCTAAGAAGGGCATCGTCATTGGGAGATGCAGATCCAGTTGCAGAACCAGTAGTTTCAGAGTCAAAGTTCAGCAAATCAACAACTGGTTGGGCTGGTGGCAGAGGCTTTGACTTAGAAAGTATGGCATGGGAGCCGCCTGGTGGAGGTGGGGGAGGAGGTAACTTGAACTCGCCAGATGAAGATGTGGTTGGTGCGAAATCGCTCATCTTTACCTTGCTTACAGTTCGCCGAGGTCCACTCGTCGTAGATGGATCCTTCTTGGATTCTTTACCAGGAACCTTGACCAGTGGACTCTGCACACTGGTTTTGGGAATGCTAGAGGTAGAGGTCTGAAGAGGATTTGATGGGTTTTCCTCGTCAAACAAATCATCTTTACCAGTAAATGAGGACGAACCGTTCAATTTTGGACTCATCCCTGGGCTTAGACTCTGCAAAACCAATAACGAGCTCGTTTCCTCAAACAAACCAAGTCTTTTCAAAGCTGAAAGAGAAATGAAATATGAACCATGGACCTCGGAAGAGAGGGAAAGGCTAGTCTAATAGTAAAGGCGAAAGGATATTCTAGAAATATCTAAGTAATTCATCAAGTCCTTAATATTCGTATACAATATTGTTTTTTGATAAATTAAATATGCTATGAATCAGAGAGGTAGTACTCTATGGGAAGAACTAAAGCGGCAAGGTGGCACACGAACAAATTGGATACCTGAGCACAAATCACCGAACGAAAAATGATAGAAGAATTGAAAATAGCCTTAGAAATAGGTTCAAGATACTTACAGAGAAATCTGCCCAATTTGAGTCATTTGAATTCTGCTTAGGAGAAAAGGTAGCAGCGTCATCCTCGAATGCTTTCCAGTCACTAGTTGAATTCCCACGAAATTCATTTCTCGATTTTTCTTGCCTATTGCCGCGCTTTTCAGATAAGATTCTTTCTTCGAATTCAGTGAATTTTTTCCCCACGTGGTAGTCGTCGGTGTCCGAATCCAACATGAGACCCTCTGAAGCTGAGGATGAAGTATTCCCGAATCCACTGTAGCGTGAAGCACCAGATCCAGAACCACTTGATTGATAACTACCTGATCCAAAAATGCTCTTTGTAAGCTTCTGAGCTCGTTCACGTTCCTCCTTCAAATATTCGTCCTCTGACAGCAGCTTCATTACCTGCTTGGCTTTTTTCCGCACAACTAGTCCATGATCAACCCTACAAAATCCATGTGCTAGAGTCAGGAAGAAAAACTAAATAAAATAAAATAAAAAACACACATCACACGGGAGAACATTCAAGAAAGTAGACACTTGCATGCTAAAGGTCGAAATGAAAAAGAATCAATGGTGCCAAATGAGCATATGAAGTCAGAGACTATCGCTTCGATATAACCAACGCACACGAAAAACTGAATGAGACTGATTAGAAAATACCCTCGTTCACTAACATAGCTGAAGCGTGTTAAATCCTCAATCAGGTCTCTGTCAGAGCTGAATTCCATGACTATTTTTTCCGGACCGTGGAAAAGTAGAAACTCTACGACAGTGAGCGTTTTCAGAAACTGCCTCCAGTACTGCTTTCCTACCAATGCCAACCTGAATGATAAAACCACAAGAAAAAAAACGCAACAGGAACTCAGTTAGTACAACACGTTTAGACCTTCGGCCACACCTGATCGTACAGTGGAAAGAGTACCAGGGCCAGAATGGGGACTTGTAGCGAAAAAAGAAAACGTATGTATTGATTAACTCTACTCTTCTCGTCAAATTATAATGTTGAACTCTATAGTATCAGAAGATATTTTGAGACTACTGTTTTTAGCACATCGACGTGAGCTCTCCATATTTAAATCTTTCTGAAAAGAGAGAGAGGGGGAGGGGAGAGGAAAACAACAAAAATAAATATAAATATAAATATAAAAAAGCTAGATTTAAAAAGATAACTTCAACCAACCTCTGATGAAGAACCTGTACAATACGAGGATACTCATCCGATCGGCGGCAGGAATCAGCAATGGCAGCCATTGTCTTTGTTGCAGGACCCCATTCATCATCGTTAGTGGCTTCTTCGGCCAACCTAAAATTTCAAAAACGAACCACGACCATGATTATAATCACGAATGCTCAATCAAACTTCAGGGTCCAAATTTTTCAATAATAAATAAAAAAAAAATAAAGGGCATTTTTAATAAGTAAAAATCCTGCATAGGACATGCTCTATACTGGTGGGGCACGTGCTTACAACTGAGAGTTTGTAACGTCAGTTAAAAGTAGTCGAGCAGAATTGATTTTATCCCTCAAGAAGAAAGAAGCCTGCTTCTTGACGTTGTCATAGTCCACACTTCCAAGCCCCACCTTATGCTTAATGTTCTCAAGATATTCCATCTTACACTTCGAGTACGAGAGCCAGAAGCATGAATGTTGACCTGCGGCTGACAATGCATATTAGAATGAATATGCTGTGAACCAAGCTAACGCATCGACTCCCCAGAAACTTCCACGGCAACGCCTAATTCATATCATAACCACAATACTCACACTCCCCTTCCCACTTGATCTGTGACCACCTCGGGCCACTGTACACCAAACCTAAAGTTTGAGGTCTAAAACTTACGCCAATTCTACGGATTCAAAGCCACTCATCCACAAACAACAGTCGTGATTGAAACACGGAGCTCATTCATGACCAAAACATTCCTCCTAATACTCCCAACCCATCTTCACCCCAACACCTACAAACCCTAACTCTGCACTTCGAGTATTTCCCACTAATTCCACAACCCCAGTTCACCAATTTCCCACTTCATGTCAACTCATCACCGCTCTCTTCAAGCAAAACCTCTTCACCAACTCCCAGATATCAATTACCCTACCCTACCCTTCGGTCTACCTGCAACTCACCGCGGCTCAACCCCACAAACGACAAATACTACCCACGATCCCCCGTAGATTACCTCTTCAATACCCGCCGGCTTGAACGCACAATTCACTACCTCACCATGTGGACACACATGCGCTCACACAGCACGATCCTCTCCCCACATGAAAATTTCTCGTAGCAGCATCAGCAGCAGAGACGAAATAGAACCCACGAGAAGGAAAATCGCGCAAACAAGCGGGACTGAACAGAACAAGGGAGGGAGGGAGTGATGCGGTGACAATACGAGGTGCGTTCGGCGATGGAGTGAGTGCTCAAAGGATTGATTCGATGAGGAACCAAAAATCACACTTGGGGCATCATCGTCATCGTCATTGTGGTCACTGGAATCGGGCGAACATGCCACAGATCCGGAGAAAGCTTGGTGCCCGCGCGGCGCCGGATCGTTCGTTCTCCCTTCGTTGGCTTCGCGGGCGCCAGATGGACGGCGTTCATTCCTCGTCGAAGACGCGGGTTTCGTCCGTCCATGTGTTTGGGTGAAGTTAAAACAGCCAGTCCATTGAAACCAACAATTTGGGAATATAAATAAACAAAAGTTAGTCTAGATTTAACTTTTCATTATCTCACAATGCAAAGAGTTTAAATTTGTAACGATCGGACCATGTTAATGATTTTTATCAAAAATAAATTGGTTGTAGATAAAAACAAAAAAATTACATCAGTATAATTAATAAGTTAGCAATTAAGCTCTCAAAGATGAGTAAAACAGTAACAAAAAGTATAAAAATACCATGATTACCTTCGTCACATTTATTAAGTTTAAGGTAGCGGTCTAATTTTAAATTTATTGGTAATGATTTAGAATGCCACATTAATTTAAACTTAATTCTAAATCAGATTAAGGTGGCATTCTATATCATTTTGAACACAATATATCTTATTTATAATTTTACAATGTACAAAAAGCAAAGCCTCCATTTGTTATGTACGTATGAATGGGAGATTGCCTAAAAACAAAACTCTTACCTTCTTCTTTTTTTCATGGTAGATCATTCAGAAACATCTCAACCCAAACAATGAAAAGTAGTAACGGTTATACAACCCAACATTAGAGTCCGGAAACACAATCTCGAAACAGAAATCAATAACAAAGAAATGTGTGAAGTCACAAACATATTATGATTATTCTTCAATGAGCATCACAAAGTAGCTGTTCCTGCATTCCTCCAAAACACCATGTTACCAAGAATTTCAGGCATGTGACCACAGTTCCAGCATGGTAGCTTCAGCAAATCAACAAAAGAACATCAAACACCTTGCAAAGATGCAGGCTTTGTGCACACATCATTTGTCATGCGAAGAGTTTATTTTGCTCTAGAACATCATGTTTTGGCCTGCAGAGCTTTCTAGTTCTCAACCATAAGGACAACTGGTGACCAGATTGTTCAAGGTTGTAGTGAACACACATACTCCATGTCTCAGAGAATGAACTGTGTTTGTATGGTACTTTGTGCGAATATGTTATACCACATGGACTTCGTAACCATCTCTGGTTGAATGAGATTCGTTCATACCTTGACTTTCTTCCCAAAGCAGACCACGCAACACGATATGTTGAGAATAGAAGGCACCGAGAAACCATTCCTCCATGGAACAAACCTCGCGATCTAGACTGTCGATAAATTACGCCGGCAGCCTTTCAGCGAATTACAACGTCGTCAGTTCAAAAAAAACGGCACTTTTTTTCAATATGCTCTATACATTGCGAGGGTCGGTGCAGCATTATTGCAGGACATAACCAGAGAGTTGCGACAATGAGAAGGTATGGCACACAATGGCGCCTCATGTCTCTGGAAAGGTGGTATGAACCATGCAGCACCAATAAACCCCGCGTGGATGGTTTTCAACTTCAAAATCTGAGTCGGCGAGTTGGTCAAGCTGCCACCGCAGCGATGACCGAGAACAACAGACAACTCCCCTGCAACACCACTGGCATATGTGGGCAAACACTGGCGGCGCGAATTGTGCAGATTTTCTGCAACAACTCTGTGACCAGGCACTTATGTCCAGTCCAGCAGGACATTGCATTTGAGGACATGAGACCAATTGCATCCCAACACGGACTCAGGGAGGGAGGGTGGGGAGATATGCCTCTGCAGTGGCACGGCACCGGAGCAAAGTCTGAGAACCTGTGCAAAAAGGGTACCAGAAAGATGCTGTTGTTTTTATTTTGTTTGGTTTTATGTTGTCTTTGTTGTTGGGTATGTGTGTGGGTGTGGGTGGTGGATTGTTGCAGTTTTACAGATTTCTGCGGCGTCGGTAAATCTTGGCTTGTGGTTAGTGGCCTCTAGGCATGCTTGCAGAATGAGTTTAACCTATATATATATATATATATATATTTGATTTTCACAAAGTACCCTTGAAACTCTTTTACAAATCCATGTATTACAAAAAGAAAAAGACTCCACTTTCATGTTTTCAGTAGAATAAGTGCCAATAAAATATTCATTTGTATTATATTCATAACCTCCAACGACTTTATACCATTATAAAACTAGTGTTCATAAAAGAGCAGTGTCATTATAAAATGGTTATGCTAACTTATTGTTTGTTGTCACTACCACTTTGGTGTTCTATAACTTTTTATGTGCATCTTCAAATAGTATATTTTTTTTGAGCTACAGATATATGTAAATAACATTACTAAAAAAACCTAAACTTCTTTAATTTTAAGATGAGTTTCAGATAGCTTTCAAAGATTATTTATTGCATTTATATAAATTTATTTATTTTACTTTATTACGATTTCCTTACCTATATATAGTATAATACTAATATATGATAGTTTCCAATTTTTATATTTATTATATATATTTAAAATTTAAATACGTTGTTTTTTTAGATTGACTACATAATATTTTATAAATCAGAAATAAAACAAAGTTTTCAATTCATATTAAGCCAATATTTGTACAGTCCATCTAGTTTTTTATTTTTATAGAAAGTATGTCTTTTGTAATCTAAAAATTTGATTACTTATTCAATGAAAAAAATGTTAATATTTATATTTATTTACATTTTTCATCATATTTTTCATGAAATTAGGGTTGGGAGAAGTTAAAAGTACAGATTACAATCACTCAGAAAATTATACATATTATTATTTATGTTGGATTTACTTCTTTTATAAAATATGACTACAATTTAATAAATTTATAATTTTTACAAATAGAAGATTTATTAATACTTCCAAATTTTTAAAATGATCCAAATCTTGCTTCTTGTCTTTGGCTGCTTCTAATTCATGATTGCGAATACATTCTTAATGTCTTGTATCAGTCAGCACTTGAAATGACATGCTTTAAAAAGTAAAGTTTTTATAATTCACGCTTATTCAAAAGGAGCATTATCTTCAAAAAAATATTTTCTATCTTTTCAAGTAAATTATAAATATGTAATTTTATTATAGCCAAAATTTAAAATAAGATTTTGATATAAAATAAATAAAATATGATTGATAATAATTGAAAGATAATGATAAATTATACAATTTAAACCTAAACAATAGAAATTTGCTTATTTATTTTTTGAAATATGTTATCTTTACTGTGTCACTACCAAAAATTTAAATCTTTAAGTAATAGCATGAATTGAAGCAAGTACAAACAAAAACTTTGTGCTCAATAAATTACTAAAATATATCATAAATATAACACAAACACTTGTTGATATTTACAATAATATTATTTGATTGAACTAGTTAGATTTTTTATTGACACATGTATAATTATTTGTAAAAGAAGATTCATATTCTGAATAAAAAAATATTTGAATTTATATTATTTATAATAAATTTAATCAAAGTAAGTTTTAGTATTACGTTTTTATTTAATTTAATCAATAAAGTATTTTAAAAAGTTAGTTTTGATTCTCGTTATTACTTTAATTTTTTCATCAATATAATAAAGTCATAGAATTTTTGTAGCAAATGTAATTACGTAGTGGAAAAAATTTTACATACTTAAAGTACTTCTTGAAATCCTCTTAAGAAAGAGAGAGATGTTTTTAATTTTAATTTCTATTTATTTGTATTAAAAAATGTGACTAGCAAAATCCTATATTTTTTAATTTATAAATTGATCTAAAAGATGATTTTTTAGATATTTTATGTCTCAAGTAAAAACAAAAATTATTTAATTTATATAATTTACACTTTATATATATATATATATATATATATATATATATATATTACATTCTAATTTAAAGTTTTTTTTTTGTATTTTTATCCCTATTTTTTAAAGGTAAAATATATTTGTAAGTCTATGAGTATAATTTATCTTTATATTAATTTGCAAGTTTACATAATGATCTAATTATAGATATCTAATACTTCCTAGATTTATGCTTATCAATTTTTTTGTTGATAATTTAGTTCTTATAGAAAAGAACCTTTGTGATGACATAAACACTTAATTTGTACAATTGTCACGGCCATAATCATGTAAGCTAATAATTACATATAGAAATAGGTAGAAGTAAGTAAAAGTAGATAAAAGTAAGTTAATTCTATAATATTTAATATAGAAGCTTCTTAGAAACTTCCTACCTGCTTTGACTTCATAGGTGTCTTTAATTGACTTTTTGGATTAGAAACGTGGTCAACAAGTTGGCCATGTGCCACACATGTTGTTAGCTTGAAGATCAAGCTAACTATGTGGCCCACACGTAGAAAAACTTGCCTTGTAAGTCAAGGCATATGTCCTACAAAGTCAACACATATTGGAGGTCCTATAGAACGTCGCCACGTAGCCCTTAGTTGGATAGTATATATACAGACAAGAGTGAAGGCTTCTTCACTCTTGTCAACTCCTTTCTTGCATCTAGTCTAGGTTCAAGAGTCTTTAGTTTCTTCTCTTGTGGCAATAGCCATTCCAGTTTCCTTTTAATATACCTACTTGTTTATATTTTGACTTATTATATCGAGATAGCCTTTTTGTGTATATTTTCCCTCATCGAGTCTTTGTCCTTGACAGATTGACAAGAGTGCACTTACAATATCAGAGCTTTGTTTTTCTTGAGTGACAGTGGATTACCCCTTTTTCTTGACAACACATAAGCATATTAGAAGTTTGCGGATTACCCACTTCTAAACTGATATTGTTCTTAGTATCTTCTTTGTTATCAAGTCTTTCATTTCTTTTGTCTTGAGCAGTATCAAACAAATTTTTTTTAGTGTCATTATGGCAGAGCTTGTTGAAATGAAGAGTGCAATGGCACAAATACAAGAGCAAATGAGGAAGTTAATACTTGCGATGCATCAATTCAATTCACCAACACATGTAAGAACAAGAATAGCAGAAAGTGGGGATATAGAGATGATCGGAGCTGC